CCCTGCTCTAAAGATTTTATTCTTTTTACTTTCATTTTTATTATTGTATTCTTTTTCTTTAATGTTTTTTATTATTATTTTCATAAACGATTTTTTAATTATGAAATCTACATTGATATTATTCATAAAAGAATATATTTTATAAATCTTTTAGTATTCTTTTTCTTTAATTTTTATTTTTATTTTCTTAACAACAGTGGTTTAAATATGGAAAAAATCTACAGTGATATCATATAGAAAATAATATATCATATAAACTTTTTAGTTCTTAAAAATTTTGATATAGCGTTAAACACAGATGGAAATTAATAAAAAAATATTTTTAATTTCAGTAAATTAATTTTAAAATATTTTATTGGCTAAAACCTCTATAATTCTTATAAAAAGAGAAAATTTGATTTATTATTTCAAGTTCACTCTTTTTCTTCTATATTTACCTATAAAATTTTGTTCTAGACAAAGTTAATTAGATATAAATAATAAGTTTGGTTCATAAATATTGGCCGTTGTGTGTAACATGTTCCTAAACTTTAAAAAATATCAAATGAGTCTCATAACTTTCATTTTTCCATCTAATAGATCTTCAAACTTTCAATTTTATGTTCCATAAATCCTTAACCTATTATATTTTCTTAAAGCTCAAGAATTTATTGGCTCAAGCTATCTTACTTGAACAAGATTGTTCTAGGTTGTATTATTGTACCTATCAATTTAACAATATATTGGTTCATATTCTCTTAAAAAAAATCTATTAGTTCAAAAACCTAATTATATATATATATATATATAGATAGATTTATTAGACGTAAAATTAAAAGTTTAAGCTTTAAGGAATTTTTTTAAACTTAATTCTAATTTAGTATAAACATATATAAACTAAATACACAGGGTTGTGTTCGAATTATTTTTATACAATCTCCTAAACGTAAAGTTTTAGATCCACAATTTATAATTGTGTTGTTCAACACCAAGTTCAATTCACTAAGCATATTTGATGGATTTTATATTAAGACCCTGAACAAAAATTCTGGATCGACCACTAACTGCCAGCTTCTTCAATTTTCTTCGGGCTTCATCCACTCCAAAAAAGTGTAAGGTTTTTATTTCCTCTACCACCAATTAGAAGAAAAGTTGGACCATACTTTTTTACATTGCTCTTATACCTCATTTCTTTGATGTCGGCTCTCCCTAAACGGCTTGAGTTCCTCCATGCCAATCAGTAGTAGATTTATCCTTTCGATGCTATCCAATGGAATGTATGGCTCGAAAGAAACAAGCAATCGTTTACTCTTCTACCACTCTTTGGGAAGATGTCAAAGTCTCCCTTTTTTTAATTATAACTTATCTACCATTTCACTAAATTAGAGTGTTTTCATCTAAACCTCCTTTTAATTTTAGGTATGTTTCTCACTTACAACTTAACGAAGAGTGGTTCCTCTTTCTAGGAAAGAGCCAATATAATCCAGGACATATTTGTACTTCACTCCTTTCGTCTGTATCTTACTATTTTGAGATAATATCTTTGGATTGCTGTTTTAGAAACTTATTTACATCACTGTCTAAAATTTTCTAATTTTACACTTTTAGATTTCTGTATGTAGGATTTTATTTTAATTCCGAATTTACCTCTATTTATTGCATTTACATTTATTATAGCTATTTGCTTTTTTGAAATATAAAAGATTTAATTCCATAAATTATTATCATAATCCTTTAATTAATGTGGTCTCACACTAATTTTCAACACAAATCCTTTAAACCCCTTCAAAACCTTAATTTACCCCTTAAAAAAGATTGATTTTCTCTTAATTCACTCTCTTTGCTCAATCTTCAAGGACAATTCAAAATCACATAAACATCTTTTGAAGTCTCAATAAACATATATCTGCATATTCAAAAAATATATTCAAAATCACAGTATATATCCACTTATATATCCGCATATTACATTCAAAATCACTATAGTATATATCCGCATATCCGCATATATACAAGTTGAGTTATAAGATATATTCACTTATATATCTGCATATGTACATTAGAAAGCCAAGATGTAAATCACTAACGGTATATATCCACGAGTATAATATTGTAGGCAGTATATATCCACCAGATTCTTAGTTTTAAATCACCATCAATATATATTCGGATATATAAAACTTGAGTTATAATATATATCCTAATCTAATCACTATAGTATATGTCCTCACATATACAATATTTCAAACAAACGAAATCAGAAATTGAAACTTATCAGATGGAATGCAAACCCTTCAAATTGGAGATGAACTGCTCTGGCGACTGAGAAAAATGGAGAAGGTTGGAGATGAAGGCAAGCAGACGTTAGCCGCAGACGAATGCAGGCAGAAACTACCGGAGAATAGGAATCGACGGAATGAAATGCTCTTGTGAAGGCGGCCGCCGCCGGAGAGGAAGGGAGAGCGACGACGGTCGGAGAAGATGAACGGAGGTTTCAGAGGAAGGAAAGAAAAACGGAAGTTTTGAAAATTTTGGAGTTTTGGGATTTTTCAATTTTGAAAAGTGTAATTAGCACATTTGAAGGGATTTCATTCCAATTTACCAATTCTATATTTTAATAATTATTTAATATTGAAATAGACCTTATGGATATATTAGTAATTTGTATTATGGTAGCATGGGGATTGTTTCATGACAAGTGTAAATTCTATACTTTTCTATAGGCTATTAGGTACTAATCCCTGCTATTTTCTAAATACCATCCCACTTCTTTGAAGAAGTATCTTGAAATTTTTTTCAAAAAAAAAAAAAAAGGAAAAAAAAGTGGTGACCAATTAGAGACTCTCACTTAAAAATCTCAATTTAAAATGTAATTATGTAATACAATTCGAAAAAATAGGGAGGTAAAATAAAATGAACCCAAAGTCTTATATATATATATATATATATATATTATATATGATCCTTCTTCTTTGCTAGCAATCTTGTTACTATAGTTTTATCCAAAATGTTTATCCGCAATTGTCCAAGAATTCCCTTCAGGGTTCTGGTTGTTGACGATGATTTGACTCATCTCTCCAGAGTGGAGAACATCCTTCTCAGTTTTGGATATCAAGGTTATTGATTATTCTTCATTTGTTCTTCTTAATTTTCCCTCACTTTTTTTGCTCATCTTTTTAATTTCTTCTTCTTTTCCCGCAGTGGAAATACACCAGAGCCCTGAGGCTGTCCTCCTCGCCCTCCAAAGAAAAACTTACATTTCCGATATCGTCGTCTGCGGCGTCCCTATGTCGAATCCTTACGCCCATTTCCTCGTTCGGTTCGCAGGATTCGAACTCGATATCCCCGTTGTTTGTAAGTTGATTGTTTCTTGATTACTTTTGTATGAATGAAAGATTACAAAAGTTTCATTTGGTTATGGTGATTGATTGTTGTGTTGTACCGTACCGTTGGATGTACGAGAGAGAAATTAAAAACTGTATTTCGAATCTTGATCAAATAGATATGTGATTTATTTTCGAAAATGGCTTAGTGTTATTGTTGTATTACGACTAAAGTTGTTTATTTTTCTTTTTGGTATGATCATAGTGATGAGTTTGAATTATAGCAATGAATTTGTTTCGGAAGGAATTCTCAATGGGGCCACCAGATGTTTTCCAAAACCCATTCAACCCGAGGATTTAAAAAATATTTGGCAATTTGCGGTAAGCCAACGGAGGAACCAATTTACCTTTTTAGCCGCCCAAATTCAAGCTCCGGCGAGTTTTAACTCAGCCGAACCATCCTCGGGGATCGTCCGAAGGCCGGCCGCCGCCATTGCCGCTGCCGCACACGGAGGAGGACCCAGCTGTTCAAACCCTAAACCTAATCTGAAAAGGAGGCAAGAATCCACCACTGATCCCAAGAAGCCATGTCTCATTTGGACGGATGAACACAACAAAATATTTCTTGATGCCATCGAAGCCCATGACTTTGGAAGTAATTGTTCTTGATTTAATTTAATTTAATTTAAGCCCTTAAATTCTTGTTCTTTTTCTTTTAATTAACAGTATGTGAAGGTTGGGATTCGAATATGTTCTTCTAATTAATCGTGGGAAGTGTAATTTTGATTTTCTTTCAGGAGTTGTTCCCACCAAAATATTAGAATATATGCGAAATCATGGATTGCCAAATATCACACGAGAAAATGTTGTCAGCCGTCTTCAGGTAATCCAAAATCTTTCCTTTTTTTTTCTTCTTCACTTTTTTGCTTCTCTTTCTAGCCATCTTTTAGGAATTTGAACATGTGAATCTGTTTATATATGCAGAAGTATCACTGGTGTGCAAGAGAGTTGGAGAAATCAGAAGTTACTGAAGAAAACGACATTGGGGAAATGGAACATCCTCAACCTCCACAAATTGAGCCACTTGGGCAAGACAAAGTCGATCTTTCTGGCACCAATAATCAGCCGCTTCCTCCTCTATCTTTATCCGATAAAATCTCCGATGTCGATAACAATAAAGATTCGAGTAAGGAGATTGTATATTACGACTTTTTTAAAGATCATGAAATGAAAGACTTATAAATGATTGTGGCAATGGGTTTCTGTGAATGTATCTCAACTTGGAGAATACAAGGTTAGTGTTGAAGAAACATGATGAGTATATACATACTTTTGATCGTTTTATAATATGGTATTGTTTTTGTGTCTTTTTATATATTCATTATAATGTAAGACAAATAATAATATACTTTTCATTTATATAGGATTAGTCTACCTATTTCGTATCGTGTTGTAGGACGAGCTCAATTAGGGGTTGCACTTTTCTCAACGCCAACTTTCTATTTTATAAGAATTGAATTAGCATATTTGTAGTTAACTTGTCTATAATTTAGTTATTGTATCTATTTGTTTGGCACTTGGATTATTAGGGATTAGTAACTCTAAAAAAATGTCGAAATTGAAGTTTAGAATGAGAAATACTATAATTATTATATCAACTATATAGTGATATCCATTTTTTATTTATAGATTTGTAAAAACGATGAAGGAATGTGATATTTCAAAGAATATCGTTCCAATGATACCATATACAACGACATCAAGAATAATACATAACACACAGAGAACGACAGCATCCTAAATCCAAGATGACCTTATCATCCAATTTGAACATAGCTAAAGAGAAAAAGAAAAATTGTCAGCAACAAGCCTATGGCCGCCAAACATTTATTACATAATTATCTCCTTGAGTATCAAGAGAAGCAGCATCACGAAACACATAATAACAAGCACTGTTGCACACTTCACCATTCCTCCGCTCTTCTGAGTTTTCTCTGCCTGCAACGCCAACAATATGATATATATATATTTAACTATTTGATGTCTCAATTTTAGGATGACCATGACCATTTTATTTACTTTATAAGCACCAGCATTCAGTAATAGTTAAATGATGCACTTTTAAAGCAGAGAGAGAACCTTCTGAAGCTGTTTATAGCCCTCCTCAACTGATGCAGCAACATTTTGAATATTGTGGTCAATTCTATCAACAATGGTACCCTTGTAGAAGAAACAACACCCATTAGTTGATTGTAAACCCATATTGATCAAAAACACACATTAAAAGAGGGTTATATTACAAGTTTAGTCCATTAATTTTCAGTGTGGTATCTAATCTTGAACTTTAAAAATGTATAATAGGACCTTTGACCTTTAAACTGTCTTCTAGGTTTGAGACCTATTAGACACTTAAAGTTTAAGTATCCATTAGACACAACTCTCATTGTAAATATAGTCTCCAAACTTTCGATTTGACCTTAAAAGAATATGGGTTGGGCTTCAACCTGGTCTATAACAAGGGTTGAGAGATCCTTCATAATTTGGGCGAGCTCATTCACCGATTTCACAACCTACATGTAAAATGTTGAACATTCTATCACATTGTGGATATATAGTTGGTCTCACCACAAGAACACAAGAACCTTTTATAACCTGTATGATCTCTTTCTCCCTTCCCTGGATGTGCTGCTCATCCGTTCCTAATGTCATCGTTTGGTTTTCATTGATTCCCTGATTCCAATAAAAATACGAATCAAAGGGAGAAGTGAGATTGATGATGATATATATTGTATCATAAAAGCCACATCCAACAGAACAAAAAACATGAAGTTTAGGCGCATCTAATAACTATTTTGTTCTATTTTTCCAAATTTAGATTATAAACACAACTCCCACTTCTCCACTTCTGTGTTTTTTGCTTTATTATCTACTTTTTTTAAAACGTTTTCAAAATCTAATTCAATATTTTGGAAACTAAAAACCGGTAGTTTTTTAAAACTGAGTTAGAAGAAAAAAGAAAAAAAAAAATCAGCTTAGCATTCAAATGTGTTTATAAAAAAAATAAAATACCAAAGAAATTGTTTAAAATTAAGCATAACTTTCCAAAACAGAAAACTAAAAGCAAAATTGCTATCAGATAAAGCCTTAACTTGCACCCTAGCATACAAAATAATAAGACATAGCCCAGGCATGGCATATTAACATATGGGGGATACTGAAGCAGAATCCACATATCCCAAAAGGAAATATGGAACACCAAAAGATTTGACAGTCATGAAAGAAAAATGGAATTAAAAGCTAACATGCTATTTTTATGCTTTAATTTCTCAAATAATGATCCCTTGCATCTCGATAACCCCAGGTTACCATAGAAATGAACACATACAAATTCACCAAATCCGTCATCCTCCAGTAGAGTTTTGTTACCATTCAAATTTATCTCCAAATCAATTCCATCATGTCCCTGCAATACAGAAGTAATTTAGACCCATTAACTAAAAAGAACGATGTTTCAATTAATAAGACTCCAGAAAGATTACTCGCTATTAACCAAATGACAGATTCACCAAAAAAATTAGAACTCTAAAATGATAGACCAAGAGAAAATTCTAAATGGGGAGATTTGTCATAATCGTAAAGTAGTTTCCCTTTTGCCCATATGAAACAATTTTTTAATTGATAAGTGAAAAGAACAAGAAAATTGTAAAGTGGAAACAAAATGGGCCAACTACCAAGCCAACTGATTAGATACAATCTTTCCAAGCAAATCAGAAATATTTTACAGATGCGTTGTGAACACAGGGCACTAACCTCCTTTTGCTGCTGCAGACGTTTCAGATACATTGACTGCCGTCTCCGGAGGTCCATAGAAAGGTTCTGAAGCTCTGTAGCAAGAGAACGCTGTTAAGAAAAGGAGTCAAACCATCACAAAAATGTATACACATAAAAGAGCATGAACACCAGAATCCTATAAATACTTGTAGTTTTAGGGAGTGGGGGGGAGAAGTTTATTGGAGCTTTGTACGTTGATTTCACAGCAGCAAGAAAAAAAAATCCAACAGCAAAAACTGTGAACAACAATTAAAAAGATGCAATAACATAAATAAATTGTACTAAAAAGCCAACGATGACAATGCTCCAAAGTCGAATAATTCAAAGTATTAAGCATAAATTTAGTGAGAGTCAGAGCATACCTGGACATTTTTCCTTATGTTAAAATCCTCAGAGGCTCCGGTGCTAGAAATTTTCTTCAACCTCTTCTCAGAGGTTTTCAAAAGATTGGTAATCTCTTGCGTAAGAGCCTCAATAGTATGCTGATCTTCTTTGCCATCAGCAAAAGAAGGCATTAAAGCTTTAGAATGAGCTTTGACTAACCCCGCCATCTTCCTACGAATGTTCTGTATATTTACAGTTATTTCTTCAGAATCGTCCACCCAAGCTGGAGGTAGGCCAACCATAAATGCATCACTACTGCACCAAAGATACAATATTAACAGTCAGGGGAGTATGAATTATAAGTTAATGGGTTACGATTTCTGGTAGTCCTGTACCATTTGGAGTGGATGCCTTAATACACTTAGTTTCCTACATAACATTTTGGTAAATTCACTTAACCTTAAACTCTATGACACCCAACCTCTCAGTAAGCGTTTCCTTCCCAGACTCCCAGTCCAATTCTAGAATGAAATATCGATCAGAAAACCTCTGTCGCAATTGCAACTCATCCTAGGGAGCAATTAAGGAGAACCAACACTAATAAATTTCCTCCTGAGGTATGATTTTGTGAAACAGTTCGAAGAAATACAATTTTTTAAGTTTAGTGTACATGATACTTTGCTAAAACTAATTATGGAGACACCAGAAAGAAACAGTGAATATATAATTCAAAAGGAGGTAGAAAAGAAAGAGGGAAATAAAAAATTTATTCTACTTGTAGATAAAACTGAAGCATTTTCAGAACAAAAATTAACAGAGTAGAAACGTAGATACACATCCGACTATTCGTTTTCCCAAATTTTTTATGTCCTTTCTAAGCCCTCTTCTGCCTGAATCGACAAAACTCTTTGGAGCACACAGTCAAAACATAACTAAGAGTCAAAGTTTGAGGTGAAAACAACTTCAAAGCAACCCATTGTTTTCGTCAATTTTAAGTGAGAATCCCAAGTAGATATGGGAAGGGGAACAAAAGGGCAAGCATTTGTTGATAATGTCTAGTTATCTGCTCTTCAAAATTTCCCCAGACAAAGAAATAACGAAAGACACAAATACGCATCAAATTTGCCTTCGACGCAAACAACTAAAGAAATGTTAATTGGATGTTACAGTAGAAGTTCAATTTTCCATCCAGATACTCCACATGGCCAAGGAAATAATCTAACACAAGTAATATCTTGAACTTTCTAATGCCCAGAGAAATGATTAGAACTTTGGAAGAGATTGCAGGAGAAGAAAGAGTCCATACCTAGAAGGTCCTGGATCTTCAGTGCTAAGAGGAGCATAAGAAGAGCCCTTTGAACGAAGAAGAGATGAACTCACCATCTCAATAACTGGCCCGCTCGAACTAGCTGCCGAGGAAGATAAAGGCGCACGGACGCTCTTCACGGCGTCCCTGTGCTTTCTGAACTGCGCTGTTCGGTTCCTCGTCGCCATGGAAAACAACGGCCGGAGAGAAAAACGAGAAATCAAAGAGCAGAGAGTTCAAGAAATACCAAATTCGAAGAATTCGAATCAGTTCCAGCATGAAAATGAAATCAATTGTATGGTTGAATGCTCAGATTGAAGTGCGAGAAACGAAAAAACGGAACCTTCCCGGAACAGTGACTTCGTGCGGAGGTTTTACACTTCGCCGGAGGGAAACAGATCGGGTTTTCAGGCGGGCCTGGTGGAATATGGGCTCTCATAATCGGGCTTCTATAATAGCTTCGGAAAGCTCATATCCTTTTGTAAATTACAAATTTATCCCTTTTAACTTTGCTTATCGTGTCAGAGTTTGAATTTCATCGTTGAAATTCAATTTATTTTTGGACTTCGGTATTAGTTTGATTATTGTGATTTTCTAAAAGTTTCAATTTAATGTGTACTAAGAACGAAAAAAAAAATTCAATTTAATCTTTATAATTTTAAAAGTTTCAATTTCATCTTTATAATCTTATTAACTTCAAAAACCATATATTTCATCTTATTTTGAAAAAAGAAACAACAAATATATTTCATTCTAATCTTTACTTAACATAACACTAAATAATCATATGACACTATTAATCAAATAAAAACATCAACTCATTGTCAAAAAAAATTAAAATAAAGTGTAATAAAGTAATCGCAGTTACTATCTTTAAAGTTTGACGAACTATATGGATTAAATTTAAATTAAACTTAAATTGTAAAAATTAAATTGAAAATTATAAAAGCGTAATGACCAAATTGAAATTGAGCGGAGATATAAATACCAAATTGAAACTTTTTAAACCTTATAAACTAGTATTTCGATTTAGGACCAAATTTATAATTTAACCTACAAACTTCATTTAAACCTACAAATATTTTTTAAAAATTTAATAACTCCCAATCAAATCATTCTATCGAAAAATATGTTAAAATTTGTTAATAAAAAATTATCATGGATGACTCATTGTTAAAAAAAGACTCAGATAAATTGAGGGAGAATTTATTCAAACTTTATGATGTCGAGTCTGTATTAGGAATTAATTCTTATGCATTTTCCGACACAAAATATTATCAGGATTTATCTATATTACCTATATTAAAATGAACTCAATCTAAACTACAGTAATGAAAATACAGTACATAAATTAAAATAAATCAAATCTAAAAATACGGGAAGTAAATAATAATTTGACCTCTAAAAAGAATATGAAACTAAAAACTAAAAAATTGAGATATCATTTATTGAGAAACTTTAATTTAAAAAGAAAAGTTTGAAGAGGCGAACAAATACGAAAAGACGATAATAACCCACACAGTACGAAACCTCCCGTTGAATTTCCAGTAATATTCAGAAAGTCCCGGGGGCAAAATGGGGAGGCTGGCCCTAATCCAGAATCGTTGGTCTCGGGTTGTTGAGCGAGTAGTTTTGATGATAAAACGCGGGAGTTCTTGGTCGTCTAAGAGTCAGAAATCGTGTTCGCTAAGGATCACGACCCCAAAAATCCCATTGACCTTCAAGCTCCATAACCCCGAGCTCTTTCTTCTTCCCATTTTTTCTCCGGATTCTGTCCCCTGAATCGGTTGCGTGTTGCAGTGTTTCTTCAGTCGGAGAATGGAGAGTGAAGCTTATAGCTATGGTCTCTCCGATGCTACTGTTGCTGCTTCGAGGAGCTCTCAGTTGAGATCCCACTCGCGTTAGTCCATGCCCGATCTTAATTTTCTGATGATCTGCTGTTTTTGTTTAGGGTTTTTTGTTTAAGTGGGTATTGTTTGGTTTTGTAGATTTTTACTTTGATTATGAGGAGGTGGATGGCGATGATGTTTTGAATGCGGAATATCCTTGCCCGTTTTGTCCGGACGAATTTGATCTAGTTGAGTTATGTTATCATATTGATGAAGAACATCCCGTAGAAGCGAAGTATGGGGTAAGAAAATCGCTAATTTTTTACTTCTTTCACTACGGTTTTCGGAAGAAATCGTTTTAGTTCCAATTGTTTTATTGATGCTTACTCGAAGCTGCTGTCGATTTTGGGTTTTTTGTTTTTTCTTAGTCTCAGGGGGAGATTAGAGATATCTTCCTTATTAATACGGTATCAAACATTAATATAATGGCAATTTGTTTGATTCCTTGATGGCATAGGCAAAGTTTATGATCGTGTTCACAGTGTCATTTCAGTGAAGTGAAAATTCAGGGTTAAAAAAAAATTGATTTTGGGACGTTAGTGTGAGAATCCATAATACAGGATATGGGTTTACTGATATGATGATCATAACAGATTTACAAATATACAATGATATAAAATCCTAACTGCCTTAACAAAAACTTGGGGGTGACTCTTAAGATTTGGGGGCAGTTCTAATTTATCCTTTGACACCTATAGACTGTCTACTTTAGTCGCACCTCGACTAACCTCACAAATCAACTGTCTGGCCCTACTACATTTGGTTGCTTAACTCCTAGGATATTAAATCCTAGGTAGATGGCTACCATGGTTTGAAACTATTCCCTCTAAGCCTTTGCTATTTACGTAAACTGCCTACGTTAGTGAACTCTTGGCAAAGTCCATTGTAATATGTTCTTACAGAATGGTTGTTTGTCTACCTTTAATGACTATGATCTTCAAGTGCAAGGCACAATCTAGTTAACTGTTAACATTAAGTGCCATGCATAAGAAGTCTCTTTTTGATCTATCCTCTTATTTGCTGTCATTGAATTTATCATCATCTTTCAAGAGTGTAACTCACTTGCTAATATGAGATGATGGCACCACCCTGTTGCTTAATGTACTATTCTATTGGACTTAAGGTGGAAAATTACATTGTTAGAGTTGTCTTTATTGTGGATAACATGGTGGTATTACCTTTATATTTTTTAAATTAGTCACATAACTAGGTTCAATATAATGCTTTATTGTTCATCTTTCTTTTAGTCAAGAATATTCATATGTGATTCTTATGTTAGCATTGCTATGAAAGTCCTACCATATTTTTGAGGGCTAGATTTTCAGCAAGCTTTTCTAAGCTTTATATATATATATATATTTTGGTAGTAAAGCGTCTATTGGTTTCTGCTGGAGTTTACTTTTTAATTTTGTAGTGTTTTCTCATGAGGTTGGTTTTGGTTCCTTTTTCAGATATGCCCTATTTGTTCTCTAAGCGCGGGAGCAAGTATGGTTGGACATTTAACAATGCATCATGGAGATATATTTAATATATCCTTTTATTTCATTGTTTAGATATTGTTGAGTTTCCCCATTTTAAAAATCTCTCAACTTCTTCTCTTTCTAATTGAATCATTTATTGTCTATATTTTGTTATTTTTCTTATTTATATCCAATGCATACTTGATTCAATGCACTGAGTTCCTTAACTCGAGGTTACAGTCAACAACGATTGAAATTCCATAAAGACGATTTCCCTCAAAGCCTTTCCTTTGAGAGAAAGGAGTTGCATGACTATCACGTAACATCTATTCTTTCGGGGTTTTCTTCTCTGAATTCCACCTCCAAGATGGCACCTGATCCGTTGCTGTCATTTTTATGCAACGCACCTATCATCAATGAGTCAAAAACTGCCCAGCCCATGCCTTCGAGTAAAGAAAATTTGGAGGAAAAAGAATTAGATGATACATTTTCAGAAAGGTAAGCGCATAAATATTCTTCTAGAATCTAGATTTATATTATATATAACGTGTTTGAATTGACTTGAGAATTGAGCACTTTGTTTCATGCATCTTTTCAACATAATTATGCTTCTTACTGGTTATTAGGAATGCATTTTGGTTTATCATTTAAAATGTATTCCTGTAGAAATTCAGTTATGTCTTGCTTCTCCATACGAACTAAGATAACCTTGGATTTTCTGTCACGGGCATGAGAATGTGTTTTTTTTGGATAAGAAACTAGGGCTTTCATTAAGACAGCTCAACAAAAGGAAACCAAATATCTCCGATCCAAAAGAAAAACACCTAACTGACAATTACAGAAATCCTTAGTAACTGAAGTCCACAAAGAAGTATGAAGTCCACAAAGCAGTATTAAATCTTGTAAGCTCCCAAGTTAGCCTCCCAAGACCTTTCTATCCCTCTAAAAACTATATTATTTTTCTCCATCTAAATACCCCCAAAATGACCAAAAAAAAAAAGCATGCCATGATGCCAATGAATTTTGCTCTTATCCCGATTGGGATACAACAAAACGGAGTCCACTGAATGCAATCTCGGGTTCAAAAGAAGATATAGCCAAGGGTATACAACACAAAGGGGTTTGTCACCCATCCACCAATCCTCCCAGACGTAAGTATTAGAGCCATCCCCAATGGAACATTTCAAGAACTAAGAGATGTTCCAGAACTAAGAGAAGAAGGGAAAAATGGAGAAAATAGACTTCCAGGAATTTTTAACTGAAGCCTTTCTTTCGCTGACTACCTGAGACCGAGACAACAATGACAATGTTTGAGGCTATTTTGAACTTTTATGACCAAATGGTGGTACATGTTCATATATTTTTTTTTTACAATGGCTGGAAATTTTGATGAGACCTTGAATCATTCGTACTTGCCTTAGTCACAGTATAAATATAATACATTCTTAATGCTTAATGTTGGAATGAAACTAATCAAAATTCCTTCTAATCTAAAACCTGCTTTTAGACAGTAATACCAAGGATTATTTTTAGTTGAGCTACAAATGAATGTTGAAGTTCAATATTCACAGTATAGTAGTTTATATGACTCATCCTTTTCATGTTGAGAGTGAAGGTTATATGTCCCTGTCAATTGTGTAGCCAATTATGATTTGGTAAAAGATATGTCAAGAAAAAATTTATTGCTTTATACTGGGAGGTGAATGTCAGACCAGCTGACAAATGGGTAAAGTAATAATCAGTCAGATCCATTCCTTCCTGTCTAAAAGCTTAGTCTGGTGCCACTGTGCAGTTCTGTTTTGGTTTTCTACCATTCTTGAACATTTGTTAAAAGAAAAAATAGCGATAAATTCTACTTTTTTACGAGCCTGATTGAGTTGTTTTTGCTTTATCCACTGCTCTTTCATTCCTGGCAGTCCTACATTCAGTATCAACAAGCTAATTATATTAATATGCATATGCAGGGATGTCCAGTTATCTTCTATACCAGACACGAAACGAGAAGAGAAGACGCGGAGATGCGACTTCGTACGGGGTTTAGTTTTCTCTGCAATCTTAGGTGACAGTTTATGATAGACAGGGCAAAAGCATAAGAGGGATGCCATATCAAAATCGTAGGAAATATTATTTATTGTTATGAATTAGTATTTCAATGTCCATATTACTTTGTGAGAACATGGCGTAGGAATTGAAGTTGTATTAATGTGGCTTAGTAAATATAAGGTTAGAAAGTGCAATCATTATCAAACTCTTGTGCTGCGCCTCAGGTCCTCGTGGTTATTCAATCAAAGGAAAGAAATATTGTTAAGAATTGTTAAATTGGTCTAACTAACAACCAAGAGACTAGATTGTACCAGAGGAAACATTATTGGATCTGACAGAAATAAGAGACTTAATGGGTTTTTGATTGATGGTTTAGAAAGTTTAAATTTGTGCAATTTAGAATTTTGTATTTGGGTTGTATGGGTAGTTATTTCTTTTCATGGAATTAGTCCAGGGGCATATAAATTGACTTTAATTGAATGGATACAAAATATATATACACACAATTCGCAACGAAAATGCCTTCCACCTAATATATTCGAACCTTCGAGTTAAGTTGTGGATCATAATAAGGCTTATCTGATCAAGGGTCGAGGTACAAGGACCTAATACCGAATGAATGGCTATCAATCAAAAGCTCAAACAGGAAAATCGAAATTGATCAATGTATTTCACGATCGTATATTTCATTATTGCGTTACATCCCAAAATTTCCTGTATAAAATCCTCACTATATACTAAAAAAATTGACATTGAGCTAGCTAACTATGAAAAGAAAAGGGGACCAAAAGAACCTAGCCCTGCGGCTGAAGTTTTCTTATCAGCCATTTTCGCCGTAATTTGACATCTAATGCAATAAACGTTTTGGCCTTGTTTTCATCCTCTAGGAGATCACAGGCATCTAATACCAAGTCTTCATCCATGTCTGGCAATGCTTGAACCGCTTCAATCACTGTTTCGATCGGTATCGAACCCGAGTTATCGTCATTCTTCTTCTTCTCTGACAAAGAAGAAACAACGCTTGCCATCTCCCGGAGGGCACTGGCCATGCCTTCATCTTCACCTCTAAGCTTCTTGTTATGGTCAAAACTCGACGTGCTTTCTAATCTGCGCTTGTGATTCGGACCCAGATGTGCTGATTCCTTTATGCTCGTTTGTTCTTCGCTTGAAACTGATGCAACAGGAGACTCGAAACCTATCAAGAGTCTTCCTTCCTCCGCATTGTTGTGCTGCTCTATTCCTTGACCTGACAAACAATCTCTTTCGTCGAAACTAGGATCGCAGATCACGCATAGGTCTTTGTAGTAAGGCACCGGCCGTGTCATGAACTGTCGAGCGTCGGTATGTGCCTACTAGTCAGCAACAAAAATAGTTAGAACTTTGTTAACATCCTAAACACCATCAAATTCTAAAATTGTGTCAGCTTAGGTACCTATTACATCATACTAAAATGTCATTATGACTTTACAAAAATTCTTCTTCTTTTTTGTTCAAATTCAATGTGCCAAAAGTTCAATATGATCAACTGCAGCTAAAATGCTTGTATGCAAATCTATTTATAAAAAACAACGAAGTTTCTATTAATAGCATTTGAAGATTTTAATTCACACTTACAAGCAACACAGAGAGAATTATTGAGCTAATATGTAGTTTCCAGACCTTGATATAGTCTTGCCAAATGTAATCATCAGCGGTAATCATTTGACGAGTCTCGTCCCAGAGAAACCCGTCCAAATCTAGTAGATTCTTTATAACATTGTACTGCCTCTTCAGAGTTTTGTACCTATTCTTCAAGACATCCACGTCATAATTGAAACCAAATTTAGCATTGAATGATGCAATCATCTCAGCCCATGATTGTTTGCGAAAAATCCCGTCTATTTGATTGCCTTTCTGCACTTGCTCCAGCATAAGATCTATGAAGTACCGGTCCATCGGAGGCTGCCAATAAGTTCGGGAACGACAAATGGCAGTGGTCGTTGATACGCTTGAAGTATGTTGTGGTATCTCATCAATAACATTTCCAGGCATGGAGATTTTATAGTCTTCAAGAAGAGCTTCAACATCTCCCTCGCCAACAGTCCCCAATGGCTTTGTATATATCATCTCGTTCTCACCCGAAGACGACTCCTGTAAATAAATCCCTGATAACCCATAATCAACAAGTATAACAATATAATTTCTACCTTTTTGAAGGAATCAAAATAATTTGGTTACATAATACTGTTGAGGCAAATATCATTACCTTTTTCTTCAACGGTTGCATTACCATATATTATACAAAGATCACTGTAATACGGGATGCTCTTTATTCTAAAAGATCGTGCATCGGCGTGCGCCTGAGAACACGATATATAAATTCTTTGAACTTTAGGTAAGAAAGAAGAAAACAAAATGAAGAAAGATAGAGATGCTTTCTACAAAACCTTGACATATTCATCCCAGACATTATTATCAGCAGTCACCATTTGTCGCACATCGTCCCAGCTGAAACCCCTCTGTTCAAGGAGATTCTTCACAGCTTTGTACAGATTCCTTAGCGTTTTATGTCGATTCTTCAAAACATCCTTTTCATAGTCAAACTTGAATTTTGCATTGAACAGTGAGATCATGCTTTTCCATGCTCGCTTGCTGAACAAATGATCATCAAATTTGTTCCCTTTATTAACTTGTTCTAACATAAGGTCTATGAAATACCGATCCATTTCGGGCGTCCAAACCGTTCTCAGCCGATCATTACTATTCCGGGACTGTAAACCCATACTGCACCATAATTTCAGCAAGGATCACTTCAGTCTAATTGTCCAAATGTACATAACTCAAGTCTCAAACACATGATCCACAAGCAATTACTATTATTTATACGGTATCTTCAAGCATAGATCTTTAAAATAAATTTAGTATTTTTCAAAGTGCTTTTGAGTCCTTACCAGTCAAGCACTTTGACTAAAAACACTCTACAAGTACTTTATCACAAAACACTTTTACGTTACTTACAATATAACCTTAAGTAGTGGCACCAATGGATACTACAACAAATGAAGATCAAATTCCTCAGAATAAGTGAAATCCTCTTCGAACAAACAGAACATCCATAAGTGACCTCTTCCACTGACCCAAGAAAAAAGGAACAAATAAAAAGAAAACCTTAATGCTGAAGAGGAGACAAACAAGGTAATGGAACTACAACTACAAGAACAGCCCCATTTCAAGCAGCATTATTTTTAAAGTAATTTTAAACCAGCCCACAAGAGTAAAGAGCTCCATCGATGACCAAACCAACAGTCCCGTCATCCCAACAGAAAGAAAGAACTAAATCGACAAGAACATCAGAGAACCCAATTGACTTCGACTCAGGTCAGAAAAAAGAGCGAAATCCTTGAATCTAACAGCGTAAATGGAAATTTCCGGTAGAATGAACGGAAAATTATGAACAGGGGTTGAAGAGAACGCACCTGCAGAGTGAGAGCCGATGAGGACGAAGCTCCGGGAGTGTTGGGGAAGAACTGGGGATTTTGGGATGGGATTTTCCTGGATAAGTTTAGAAGGGGGAATCGGGTTTGTGGGATAGTGCGGTAACCCTAGCCGGAGTAAGAATTTAACCCAGATGGGAATGGGAATTTGGTAAACGCGGATAGGGTTGGTCTCATCCCCACTGGATTCTACACTCCCACTTGCATCCATCCACTTTTCTTTCTTTTAATTTAGGTCCATTGGGCTTTTTTTTTTTTTCTAATAATCAATTTTCAATCGAATTAAGTTTTTTATCTGTATTAATATCTGTTAATTAATCCATTAACTTTAATTTCAAAAATATAATATTAAAAAATTTAAAATTCACACAAAATTGAATTTTATTAATCCTAAATGCACTTAATTGAAAATTAAATAACTCCATCAAAATTTATAAACTTTTACAACAAAAATAAGACCTATGTATATTGTCGTTTTTTTTTCTAAATCCTATTTATTTGGTATCAAATATACACATTAATTCATTTGATGCATGTGAGAATACTTTTTTCGACGATTTTATGAAGGAAAAATATGGAAAAAGTGCAACACTTTTAAAGCTTATGTAGAAGTCTGCAACACTTATCCAAGTTTAAGGTACAATTTGATAAAATTAAAAGTTTAGTAAATTTTGATATCTTTTTTTAAGTTGCATATATAACAACATAGCTCAAAATAACACAATCTAAAAAATTTTATTTAACATCTAAGTAATTTAAGTACTCTAAGTTTGCCAATATAAACATAGCTGAGTGGTTAAAGTAGAGTTGTAGATTTAATCTTTCATCCCTGCATTTTTAATATTTATTACGTGGGAAGGAAAGGGCTTCGCCTGGATCATTCTCCAACCTCACTCGTGGTTCCGAAAAGACAAGAATCTCAATTTGAAAGTTTTTTTGTACTCAAACCAGGCAGCATTTTATAAGTTAAGAATGATAAAAGAATATATATTTTTATTTATGTTTTGCAAAACAAATGGAAATGAGATCCATAAACAATAAATTTGTTTTTGTTGTCTCTGACGTTTCTATACAATTTTGAAAATGTTTCTAAAAAAATATGAAAAACATGAAACATTAATAGTTGTCAATTACTCATATTTCTTAATAAATTTGAAAACAAAAAACAATATCCGAGAACTTATCAGGGTTCATAATATTTAAATTTTAAATATTTATATTTATCAAATAAAATTGATGATTGGTTACAAATCTTTTAAGGATGGTCCATGGGTAACAAAAACATTTTCCCAAATATAACTTTTTAGTTTTGCAGCCACAAATTTTTAAATAAGGTTTTCAATTTTTTGTTTCTTATTTCTATTTTCCTGAATAATATACTATCATTTATATATGGTCACTGATCATATATTCTTCTTTTGGGTTGAAAAGTTTTATTTAAGTATATTGCAAGTTTTTTATTATATATCAAAATATACAAAATATAAAGTACATCATTGATATAACTAATTTACCTAATATGAAGTATATCAGCCACATCAATATATATGAATGATAGAGTCTATATTAGTTATACCACTAATAAATCTTCTTTGTATCGAAGATTTTGGTTTAAGTAACATGATGAGTTTCTTAATGATATGTCAGATACTTCAGTTTAGACATATTGCTAATATGAAATATATCAGCCATATTAAATATGTCAATGATAGCTAAAATACTAATCAACACAATAATTTTTCTCATTTTCGTAATTAATTATTATTGTGGCTATATTTTCAAATCGTCTGCAAAATGAATGGTAGCTACATAAAACCAAAAAGGAAAGAAAAATCATACAAAAAGGGCCCCAACCATGAAAAGAGGATGAGAAAATAAATAACACCAACTAGTGGTTGTGAATGGTACCTTTCTAATACAAGACATTTTGAGTCATATTTCAATAAAAAATTTTCCCCATTAAGAATTCATCAACCACTTTAAATAAATGATTAATTGAGAAATACACAAGTACATCTACAAAATATACTTCCTCAAAGGGATATGGATCACAAATTTTCAAAACTTTTTTTTACTGATAATAGATAGTGATAATATTTGCTATCTTCAACATTAAAAGACCTCTACCAAATCGAGTATAGTTCAAATGGTTAAAGCATTCTGACCAGAAACTCATGAGTTCAAGCACATGGGCTTGATTTGGACTTGAGCTCACCAAATGAATCATCGATAAGTTAAGCCTTTTGCTAACCTGAGACTATTTAATTTTTAATATTTTTTAATTTAATTTAAAGACACCTGTCAAATTCTAATCGGTCTCAATTTAATGACATAAAATTTTGTCTGGCAATTTATGATTCGCTGAAATTTATCAGTTGCATAATAAAAAATACACCTAATTTTGATGAGATATTTTACTGTAAAGATTAAATTATTACAGATATTAAACTACAGAAATTAAAATGTATGAATTATGTACTAAATCGTTATCAACTTTAGTTTATAACGATAATCGTTACTCCAATGGAAGTGCGGGGAAGACAAAAAAAGAAATTTGAACCAATAAGTACTAAAAAAATAAATACTTATTTGTGATATATTTTTCTCGATAAATTTTTACTTAAAAAATTCCTCGATAAATTCACGTGCCATATTTTAAATAAAAAATAAAAAGAAATTCACGTGCCACGCCTCGACATCGTCAATGTCAAAAAAAAAAAAAAAGGAAAAGTTCTCAAATCAAATCAAGAACTAGTCAAAATTAAAAAAGAAAAAAAGAAAAAAAAGGAGGAGGAAATAACAGATAAGTTAAAAAAGTTATATTATAGAATTGATATTTAAAAGGAGTGGTCTCCGAGGGGCGGCGATAGTAATTGAAGAATCGAATTCCTTTGCGGAGGAGGACCCATTTGCGGCGACTCGTCGGGCCGCAGCCGGGCGGAGCTTTTTTGGCTCAACGAGAACGACGGCGAAGAGAGGTGCGAAGATTCCAAAAGGGCCCATAAATTTTCTTTCTCCTAATTCCTGATCCACACATGAATATCCCTCGGTTTCGTGCAGGATTCAACTTTCCCATCTCCAATACGACTCCTTTTTCTTCTCGCTTTTCGATTCCCATTATCCCAAACGAAGAGTCTCGCTACAAATCGGCTTGACTTCCTCCTCTGGCCATGCGACTCTGGTTTGCCGAGATCTGCCTCTACACAGAGGGTTCTTTTGCTGATTCTTGCCCTCGAAACGCTGCCAATTCTTGCGGGTTTTTGATCCATTTCTCCGATGGCCGCCGATTCTCACGTCCCTACTCCCAGGGGTCTTCTCTGTAATGCCGGAGCTGGTGCTGCTGCTGGTAATTGCGTCTCTTCTCTCCCTTTACGGATCCCTTTTCGTCGCAAAAGTATCCCCACCGTGTTTAATTTGTGAAATATGAATCCAATACAACAGTCACCGGCTTGTTTAGATAATTAAGAAGAGGGGTATATAAGCATTTGATTTTTGGTTGGTGGAATTTCGTGCAAGGACTATATTGGGAATTTTCTGAACTGTATGTTTGGTTGTTATTTATTACTGGTTCTGGAAATCTGATGCAGGAGTTCTGGCTGCTACGTTTGTGTGCCCTTTGGATGTTATCAAGACTAGATTTCAGGTCCATGGACTGCCAAAGATTGGTAAAGGTATGGCCTTTTTCTTTTTCCCTGATATGCAGCAACAATTGGATTTGTTTTGATTTGTTAGAGTTTTTGCTCTCATGCACATTGCAAAAGTGTCGAGTATATGAATACATCGGAGTTGGATACCGATTATTGTCTTATTTATTGTGGGTTGCTTGTATCCTTTCTATCACCATTGAAGTGCATTGATTAATGATGATGTAATTCTTATGAATTCGTTCCGTTTTATATGTCCAGGGAGTCTTATAGTTGGTAGTTTGCAAGACATTTTTCATAAGGAGGGGCTACGTGGAATGTATCGGGGACTCTCGCCTACCGTGCTTGCATTACTTCCTAACTGGGCTGTGAGTTTTGACTCATGTTTATATCCAAATTCTTTTTTCAATGCGTGTTCCCTTTTTCTTTGTCTACTTGGATCTCTTGAAACGTAATTGCACTACTTCCTAAGCTTTAAAAATATGGTGTGGGTGTAGTAAACCTTGAAACAATCACTACCTCAGTTTTCTGGTTTCATTGGTCAAAGAATAATTGTAGGAGTTTTTCTTTCATATGACACAATATTTGCCTTTGGCAGGTTTATTTCACAATCTATGGTCAGCTTAAAATCTTTCTTGGCTCTGATGGTCAGTTTGCTAGCCTACTGTGTTTTTTTTTACAATTAATGACTATCTTTTTTTCTCATGAATTTACTCATGGTACATGTGCAGATGAGAGTCATCAGCTTTCAGTAGGTGCCAATATGATGGCTGCTGCTGGTGCTGGGGCTGCTACAACTATTGCAACTAATCCTCTTTGGGTAGTTAAGACAAGACTTCAGGTGAGTATTTCAAGCTCATGTTCTTATATGTGTGTGTGTATATATATATTTGAAGAAACCTCAAGTTCATACTCTATGTTAGGAACTTTCATCCGAACTCCTGTACACCGATTTTCTTGTTGTATATGTTGCTAAATTTTTTAATAAGCATTAGCCCATAGAGAAATCTGAAGATTAGGATACTCAAATCTTGCAAAGTTCATTATCCTTAGCGTTCCTTCTAGTGATGGATGGTATCATACCAAAAAAAGTTTAACCCATCGTGAGGGTTCAACCCTTTCCCCTTGGACATGTGGCATGAGGGAGCAAGGACCCAAAGACATCCAAATGCTTGAAAGGAATAATCCCAAACCGATCTAGTAAAAGCATAATTGACGCTCCTCCGAATTGTTAAATTGAATTCATCTTGTGGGGAATGAGAATCATGGAGCGTAAGGCACCTAGAATGAGTAGGTGATTGAGGTCTCCTCTGAATTGTTGCATGGGGTTCATCTTTGTGGATTGATAGCCATGAACCTTCTTTAGCTTCAACCAATGATGTTGATTTTCCAGTTTGTAACTAGAGAGGAAAAGTTATAAAACATCTCCCCAACTGCTATCCGTCCTAAAATGTGACGGTAATATTGAATTACTAGCCCAATGCTTCTAGAATGCTAGTAACATATAATAAGATTAGCACATGGGGTTTTTTGCAAGGACCACAACATTGCAAGAGTCAAATATAATTGTTTCTTATTTATATCTCTATGTTTACGATTACATTTACGCAATTGAATTTACTGTCTGTGATTTTATTGGTCATTTTAAATGGATCAGGTTCATCGTGTCCGGTTATTATCATTTACTTACAGTAATCACAACTTTTTCTCTTTTATTCTTGTAGACGCAGGGAATGAAATCTGGTGTGCTACCTTATAGAAATACAGTGTCTGCCTTGAGAAGAATAGCCTTTGAAGAAGGAATCCGTGGGTTGTACAGGTTCGTTCTTTCTTATCATGTTTCCATTCTGATCTATGCATTTTATATGGAGAAAATGACTATAGTGATTAGTGGCATTATTGTGACACTCGATATTGTGGTCTACAGCGGTCTTGTGCCTGCTTTGGCTGGTGTTAGTCATGTCGCGATCCAGTTTCCAACATACGAGAAAATAAAATGTTATTTGGCTAGAAAAGGTAACCGTTTAATAACCCATTTTATACCTCCCTGTAAACTCTCAAGGAAAAAGGCTCGTATTGAACTTATCGCGTTGTCACAGATAACACAACGATGGATAAACTTAGCGCACGTGATGTTGCGGTTGCCTCATCTGTCTCCAAGATATTTGCTTCCACGTTGACCTATCCACATGAGGTGGGAATTTCACTCTCTTTTTCTCCTGTCATTATCCAGATCAAGTGCATATGATGTTTAGAGAAAAATCGTCCCCTCATTTTCAATTGTCTGAGAGAAAAATGATGAAATCGCACTTCGTCTTGTAGGTGGTGCGTTCCAGGCTCCAGGCACAGGGGTTTCACTCGGAGAAGCGCTATTCTGGCGTAATCGACTGCGCAAAGAAAGTATTTCAGCAAGATGGCCTCCCCGGTTTCTATCGCGGGTGTGCAACCAACCTTCTTAGGACGACACCTGCAGCAGTTATCACATTTACCAGCTTTGAAATGATTCACCGGTTTCTTGTCAACATGTATCCTCCCGATCCACAGGCGCACACATTATGAAGACAAGTAAATGTTCACTCGACACTGCACAAACTAATCGGCCCGACTCATTCACAATTTTTTGGGTACACACTAATTGCCCCATCCTCCCTCCCTCCCCTCTGTAGCTTGTAGACAACTGAACACATTGTTGCCTCCCTCACAGTTAGCTTCATCAATGTCATGAAGTGTCCTTTCTTGTGAGAGGCAATATCTCATTTTTGTTTCCCTTTTTACAGAAGCTGATGATGATGATAAATGATAATGTGATACATTCTTTTCTTTTTCCCTTCTATTAATTTGGATTGGACATACCATTTATAAGTTTATTGGGATTATTTGCTTGAAGGTTGAATTGGTAAAAGTTTATGGACAAGACATTGAAACATTATTAAAGTAGACAGTCTCAGATATATAACCATTATTAATTACTAATTGATTTTAAATATTTTTTTCAATACAAAATATTTTTTTTATTATAACAATTTATTTAATGTTAATAAATAATGAATAATTAAAATAAAATTATATCTACTAAAATAATTTTTTATAAGAACCACCCATTTAATATAAAATTTTATTATTATAATATTTAATAATAATGAATTCTATTTTAAAAAATCTATTGATATTAATTAATAATAAAAAAAATTAAAAAATTAGAACTTAAATATAAATTTGTAATATTTTATAATAAAATCATATGAATTAATAAAAATGATATAATTTTTTACTAAAAGAAGAATGATTAAATGAAAAAGAAATAATAAAAAGTATAAAACAATTAAATAAAAAAGTTACGGACCTCATTATTAAACGCTATGACAATCAAATATAGATTTTTGGATTTTTCGAACAAAGCATTAATCTGGGTTGAGTTTAGATTATAATTTTAATTCAATTGAAGAGTAAGCCTACTTATTCCTAGTTATGACGGTCGACTTTCTTCTTTCAAATTATTTCTCATTATTAAGAAAGGTAACAAAGATAAAATACGAGCTTGCTTTATAGCACTAGTAATAAGCGTTGTTGTTTTAAGGTCAATCTATTTACCCGTCTAGATAATATTTTTCCTTGTTCACTAATAAAGCGACTAATTAAACTCATGTTTCTATAATCAATTCGATCCCGAGTAATTATAATAAATGTGTGGGCCCATGTAATGAGAAAGAGATTGATGAGGATGTAGGAGAGGAATGAGATTGGGAAATATAAATGAAAAAATTGTGTGTATCCCACCATTTGATTCCTATTCCTACAATCTAATAAACACCGTCAAAAGGAATGAAAAAATTAATTCTCATTCCTTCGTTCCATGGCCTAAAGTCTATAATTTAATTTATTCTTTATTATTTTGCAAATTTCAATTTACTAGTTCATAATGTCATAATATATTTTTTCTTATGACCTTTCTTTGCAAAGTATTAAATACAGTTGGTGCTAAGTTAAATATGATATTGAAGGTGGTAGCGTGACTATCATGAGATCTTTAACTTATTTGCTCAAAATATTTTTTTTGATTTATCTTGGACTAATGAGTCAAATCTATAATTATTTAAAACATTTTTTTTACAAAAATAGTTTTAATTAAAATACTCTAGCGTTGAGTTACCTTGTTTAAAAGTAATTTTAATCACAAATTTGTTTGATTACACTGCATATATAAATGGTTTACAAATTTCAAATGATTTGAAAATCAAATTAAAAATGGATTTATAAAGAAAATAGTTTAAAAATCAATTTAACTATTTCATAAGTGATTTTTATTTATTACCATACATTTTTTTATATTTCTTTCCTTCGGTCAAGAGTCGAGGATGTAGGTTAAAAAAGATGCGGTTGAAATAACCTACAACATCGAAACATTTTTAAAAGACTAGTCTATTACTATGTGATTATTTTTTAAATTTAATTTTTTACTAACATCAAATATTAAAAGAAAACCAATATTTATTAAAAAGATTAGAATAAAAAAAGAAAATTAAGTGTTTATAAATTAATAGACATAATATAATTTAAATTTGTTGGTGAAAAAACAAGGGATAGAAAGTGGAAAATTTATAAAATTTTTTAAATTCACAGAGATCTTATTATTATTTTTGTAATAAATTAAGATATTCAGTTTGCGCCACTCCCCCGGAGATCGCATTCTCGTCGTCTTGGTAGGAAACGAAAGCTTCCGCCTCCGCCTACGGTCTGGACTGTCCAACTGCGCCGCCGCCTACCGCCTCTTTCGTGTAAGTTCGCTTTCTCTACCGTTGATTCTCAAACGGCGTACGCCTTCTTCTGCCCTCTCTAGTACGACTCCTCTGGTTTTCATCTGCTGTAATCACTGACTGTTCTTCATCTTCCCTGTGTACAAATTTTATATAAAGCATCCCAATTGAAGTTAATTATAAAGGGAGGGCGATTAATTAGAGATACAACACCCATAAGAATTGTGATATTTAGCTCAGTCATGAACATCCATCCAAAATCCTCGAGTTCCTTTCGCTTGTAACTCTGCTGGGGTTGCTGCCGCCTTGCAGAGAGAGAAAGAGCGGCGCACAAGGTAGGGAAACCCTCGGGTTGTCGGGTTAAAACCGACTACTGTCAGAACTGACCCGACCCGACACGATCCGGAGTTGGTTCCTTACACCCCTTTATTTGATTTCTTTGGCTATCGCGCTTTATGAAACCTTATTGTCTGCATTTAAAATCTGCTCGTTTTTGTGCAGTGCAATAAAATGGGAGACTTTATCGATGATCAGCTAGATTGTGGAAAAGGGTCGTGGAGGTAGTGCATATTTATTTGACAAAAAGAAGAAATAGATATTGTTTGATTTTTTATTATTAGTTTTCACTTTTCATGTGAAAAGGAAATCGAGTTATTGCATTTTCTAGCCTGCTTTGAATATGGATTTCCCATCCATAGTTTACTCTAGACCTTTTTTTTTCCATTGTGCTTGGCAGTTTGGATAGTGGTGGTAGCAATCAAGTCATCTTGCAGGGAAGTAAGAAGAATAATATAAAGCGGAAAAACACGAATAAGGTAATGCAACAATCTTGTCATTTTTCACTTTTTGTGATTACAATTTTGAGATCAAACCTTTCCATGTACAGGGATGTAAAAAGATTCAGATAAATAAAAAACCAAAGTTGAGCAAGTCACAGAAAAGAAAGATTATGAAGTTGGAGGTAGAGCATGTGCAGTTTGAGCTTTTTATCTCTTTTCTTTTTACTTGACTGAATTAACTTGGTTTAATCTGTGCAGGAGGACAAAGAAAAAACACTTTTACTGTCAAAAAGCCTGGAAACTTTGGAGTATTCCAACGCTAATTTCTTTCATAACCTTTTCAGTTTAGTTATTTTAATGGAGAAAATATAATATAGTCTCTCACTATTTGAATCACTCATGATACAGGAAATATAAGATTCCAGATGACGCATTTCTTCTTTTACGATCTTCTGTTAGTATTGGCCAGGTTGGTAACATCGAATCAATAACTAATTAAATATTTTAATCAGTTCCCTTGGGATTGTATTTTGTTGTAAGTTAATGTGAAAATGGATATAGGATGAAACAAGATTGGAAAAACGTAGCAGAGACATACAATTTTCTAAAGTAGGAATAGAGGTTTCCAGGAATGACCAGCAGTTGAACAAAGCCTGCACTTACATTGCTCGACATGAAAATCATCTTGAATCTCCTGATATTTCTTCACGGCATCAACTTTATATCAAGATTGATGAAGATCATCCTTTGACAGAAGAAGGAGAAGTTTCCTTACAAGATAATGGTACTATAGTCCCTAAGCAAGGCGAAGTTTTTTCTTCATTGCCAGATGAAGTTGAAAATGTTAGTACAGTTATGCTAGAAGATGAAAGAGGTTTATCATGTATTACGTGCATAGATGGTGGCCTAAAAAAACCTGAGATGATGGTATGTTATGGTTTCATTTGTGGCTAGCTATATTTTATTTGGTATGGCACCCATCTTTATCGTAGAAAATATGCATCAATTGAGTTTCCATAGACTTTGCACTTTTTGTCAGTCATGACCAATTGCATTAAATAATTTGTGTACATTTAGTCATAAGTTTGATATAACAGATACAATTTCATGTCTATATTATGTGTAAATTTCTGTCCAAAAGCCTCTACGTGGTTTACCATATAATAGTGATTAGTGTAGAGCCTCACTTGTTCAATTATGTGTATTCTGTTGTTATTTGCTTGGAGCTGATTGTGGATCTAAATGGTTTAAAGGATAAGGAGGATGAAATCCCAAAGGTAGAAACATGTACAACAACATCTAACCCGCTTCCAGAAAGGCGTTTTTCTAGGCCAATTGTGGTGCCCGTACTGAGGCCACATGAAATTGAAGATAAGAGGAAAGATCTTCCAATAGTCATGATGGAGCAAGAGATAATGGAAGCGATCAATGAGAATCCCATAGTTATAATATGTGGAGAGACTGGTTGTGGCAAAACAACTCAAGTTCCTCAGGTTCTTTGGTATCTGTTATTCATGGTTGATTTTTGCTCACTCTTCTTTTAGAGGTCTTCTAATTCATCATCACATTTCTCCCTTTTGTTTGATATCTCACAGTTTCTATATGAGGCTGGCTTTGCTTCATTACAATCTAGTCTTCAGAGAGGTACCATTGGGGTGACTCAACCTCGACGTGTTGCTGTTCTTGCCACTGCTAAGCGTGTTGCATATGAGCTTGGTGTTCATCTAGGGAAAGAGGTTGGATTCCAAGTGAGGTATGACAAGAAAATTGGAGATAGTTGCTCAATAAAGTTCATGACTGATGGAATTTTACTTCGTGAAGTTCAGGTATTCCTTAGAGATGTGATGTCTTTTTGTGTTCTGTAGGTTAAGTAACATCTCATGCAATAATTTTTACCATTTTGACTGTAGCGTTCAATGTAATTGAATCTTGTGCCGTTGTGCTTACATTAAATGTGCTATAGTTGATTTATTGACATTGTTTTATCTACAGAAAGAGTCTCTCTCTCTCACACTCGTGTGTAGGGACCATGACTTGCAGCAATTTCTCATTTTCATATTATTGGGGGAAGATGTCAAAATAAAATGTACTTTCCATTCTCACAGCAGGGTGAAGTGTTTAGTTTTTATGATTGTATGTAATTGTTGTGAAACAATACCCTATGTTCCAAGCCTGAGTTGGTTTACTCTGCAATCAACATTATATTTTAGAAGTAAATTAATTTGCTGTCTGGCTTAACTAGCTCTTCTCTCTCATGTCATTTGTTGTCTCCATTTCTTTGATTTATTTTGAATGAGCCATGGTTTATGATGATTTATCTATGTAATTGTTGTTGAAAACAAGTTATATTTTCTGGTGCAGAATGATTTTTTACTGAAGCGTTACTCTGTTCTAATTCTTGATGAGGCTCACGAGAGAAGCATGAATACTGACATATTGATTGGAATGCTGTCACGTGTTGTTAAGCTTCGCCAGGTGAACATATATTGTTCGTTAGGACATGTCAATAATTTTTATTGTTTTCCTATCTTCATCCGATGTTATCTTACTGCTAAATGTAGGATTTGCACATGAAGCAACAACAGATGATACTTTCAGGAAAAAGAATTAGTCCTGAGGACATGATTTTTCCATTAAAGTTGGTTCTTATGAGTGCTACCTTGCGAGTGGAAGATTTCATTTCTGGGGGAAGATTGTTTCATGTTGCACCTCCCATTATAGAAGTTCCCACTAGACAATATCCGGTAACTGTGCATTTTTCTAGGAGAACAGAGACGGTAGATTATATTGGTCAGGCATATAAAAAGGTTCTGGCAATTCACAAAAAGCTGCCACCGGGAGGTATACTCGTCTTTGTTACTGGACAGAGAGAGGTTGAGAATTTGTGCAAGAAGCTACGTGAAGCCTCAAAGAAGCTGATAAAGAAAACATATGAAAAAGATGTTGGAAATAACAATGGTGCTGTTGAAATGAATTCCACTCAGAATTTGGATATGAAGGAGATCAATGAAGCATTTGAAGATCATGAATTTTCAATAGGTGAACAGGCAGATCGGTTTAGCTCTTATGATAAGGATGAGTTTGATATAAATGATGATGTGTTTGATGTTTCATACGATTCAGAAACAGACAGTGAATTGGAATTCAATGAAAATGATGCAATGTTTGATGAAGATGATGGTAACCTAACTGATGTTTTAAGAGAAGATGTAAGTCTCACCTCTCTCAAGGCTGCATTTGATGCTTTAGATGGAAAAACTGTTTCAAACTATGATGGAATACAGATTGATCACACTACAGAAGAGGAATCATCATCTGAACGATGTGTTGCGAGGACCAAAGAAAACTGTGAACATGGTTTCTTTGTTGGTGCGTTGCATGTTCTTCCTCTCTATGCCATGCTACCTGCAGTATCTCAATTGCGTGTGTTTGAAGAAGTCAAGGAAGGAGAGCGACTTGTCGTTATTGCTACTAATGTAGCTGAAACTTCGTTGACCATCCCAGGCATAAAATATGTTGTGGATACTGGTAGAGAGAAGGTGAAAACATATAACTCCTCAAATGGAATTGAAAATTATGAAGTGCAGTGGATTAGCAAGGCATCAGCTGCTCAACGTGCTGGAAGAGCCGGAAGGACTGGGCCTGGGCATTGTTATCGTCTCTATTCTTCTGCCGTTTTTAGTAATATATTTCCTGAATTTTCTCTTGCTGAAATAGCTAGAATACCAGTTGATGGTGTTGTTCTTCTCATGAAATCAATGGGTATTGATAAGGTATGTGTAATGTGTTTTGAGCTACTATATTTTTCCTCCATTGGATTTTGAATGTATTATTTTGTTAACTAGAAGACTTGATTGTTCCTTGTACGATGATATATATTTTTTTTCTCTCTCAGGTTGTTAATTTTCCATTTCCCACTCCTCCTGAGACCTCTGCAGTACTTGAGGCTGAGAGTTGTTTGAAAGCTCTTGAAGCTCTTGATAGTGGTGGCAGATTGACACCCTTGGGGAAGACAATGGCTCGTTATCCTTTAAGTCCACGCCACTCTAGGATGCTACTTACGGTTATTAAGATTATGAGGAATTCGAAAAATACTGCTCGTGCAAATCTTGTTCTTGCATATTCTGTTGCAGCAGCTGCAGCTTTGAGCATGTCTAATCCTTTTGTCATGATGTTTGAAGGAAGTCAAATGAAGGATGATTTACAACAAAATGATGGGGAAAATGTGGAAAAATCATTGGAAAAGAAGCTAAAAGAAGCTGGTAAACTCTCCCGTGAAAAATTTTCAAATCCTAGCAGTGATGCTTTGACAGTAGCTTACGCATTGCAGTGTTTTGAACTTTCTGAACGTCCTGTGGAATTCTGTAATTGCTACACATTACATCTAAAAACTATGCAAGAAATGTCCAAGTTGAGGAAACAACTATTGCAACTTGTTTTCAATCATAGTGGTGTTTCTATTGCTGAGTTGGACTTTTCATGGACTAATGGGACTTTGGAGGATGTAAACAATGTGTGGGATGTCCCATACAGTAAGCATCCTCTTTCATTGAACGAGGAAGAGATAATTTGCCAAGCAATCTGTGCGGGTTGGCCAGACAGGGTTGCCAAACGTATTAGAGACATTTCTAAGACAGCTGAAGGTGATAGAAAAGAACGTGCTGGAAAGTATCAAGCTTGCATGGTAAAAGAAAATGTGTTCCTTCACCGATGGTCATCGGTTTCTCGTTCAGCCCCAGAATTCTTGGTGTACAATGAACTGTTACTTACGAAGCGACCGTACATGCATGGAGTGACTTGTGTAAAACCAGATTGGCTTGTTAAATATGCCAGTTCCTTGTGTACTTTCTCAGCACCTCTAACAGATCCTAGACCTTATTACGAACCTCAAAATGATATGGTATTTTCATGGGTTGCTCCTACATTCGGCCCTCATCTATGGAAGCTTCCTTTACACAGTATGCCAATAAAAGATATTGTGCATGGAGTTGCAGTGTTTGCATGTGCTTTGCTTGAAGGGAATGTGGTGCAATGCTTAAAGTCGGTGCGCAAGTTCATGGCAGCCCCTCCCAGTAGTGTCTTAAGGCCAGAGGCATTAGGTCAAAAAAGAGTTGGTAATCTTCTCTCTAGGTTGAAATCTAAGAAGATAAACACTTGTGCTACACTGAGAGAGGTTTGGAAGGAAAATCCTTATGAACTACATTCAGAAATCATGGATTGGTTTCAAGAGAGTTTTCAAAGTAGTCAGTTTAAAGAGGTTTGGTCACACATGGTTTCTGAAGTACTTGAGCCCCAAAAACATTTCTCCAAGGGACTGAAAAGGGTCAGCAAGAAAAAATTGAAACCTGAGTAATCTTTTGATAAAGGGGACAAATGTCAAAGTGTAAATTAGATTATTCAATTTATACAAAATTTTGATTCAAGCTTTTCCTTTTAGTTGAGGTGGGTTGTTTAGTTTTTGCTAACTTTCCTTCTTGTTCAACAGAAGATAGTTCTTTATTTAAACCATAGTTGTTGACCCTCGTAAATTTTTTGATTTGCAGATACGTATTATTTATGGCTTTCTAGGAAACGTGCTTCTGACGGAATCCAGTTCAATGGTGGCATATGAATCTTGCCTGTAATGCTGGAGCTGGTTCTGGAATTCTGGTGCAGTAGTCTCTGAGAATCCTATTAGGGTTAGTTCGGGAATAGTATTAGTATCGTAGTTAGGGACAATATAGTAATTAGTTAGGGGCGAGTTTGTTATAAATAGAAGAAGTAGAGAGCCAGGGAAGGCATTTAAAGGGAATAGTTTAAGGTGAGAAACTTAGCATGATTCTAAGGAGAGAATTGATATTGTAATCTTTTTTTGATATTGCAATATAGTCGTCTTGTTACTTTTCTGTAAACGGGATTCTAACAGAGTTCTAGCTCGATCCTACGTTTGTGAGATGCTTGCTTCTGGTGCTTCTAACAGAGTCCTAGTTCGGTCCTACGTTTGTGAGATGGTTGCTTCTGGTGCTGACGGGGGCTTCAACAACTATTGCAACTAATCCACTTTGGGTAGTCAAGGTGGATTAAGAGAGACTGGTGAGAATTTCAAGTTCATCTTCATAAGAAATCGAGGGGTGATTGAGTTCTCCTCCGAACAGCAGAGCAGGAATCACATACTCGATTGGACTGAGGGCGGATGGGATGAAGAAGCAGCTACTTCAAAAGAGCAAGTTTCAAACCGGAGGAGCATAGTAACAATTTTGATCCTTATTTGTAAAATTTTAACACAACCAAAATTCTTTAATATAAAGTTTACAATTCAAGATATATCGAGTGATGTGTTGAAATTGTGATATAGAAAATGAGATGAAAAATAAGATTAATAGATCAAAATAGTCACTTTTTAAAATTACATGGACTAAAATAAATATTTTGAAAGTACATGAATTAAAGTTGAAAACATAGAATCAAAATGACGGTTTGAAATAGATGATTGACATGATTTCTCAAGGAAAACTCAAAACTTGATCCAAATGAAAAGGCTGGTTGACAAATTGACAATGAGAAGACTGAAAGATGTTTCCAAACAACCCCACAAATAATGTCTTCATTCATTCAATAACCAATATGCACTGTTTAATTATCTTGACCCATATGTCTTAGGTTCATTGCCTTGCAACATCATTTTCTTGCACTCATTTTTCTTTTTTTTTTTTGGTACTTGCAGTTCATATAATCTTATCATCAAGTTACTAGAAGCCTACACAAAATATTGCAAAGTCCAATATCGACTCGTTTAAATTGGAAAAGATCAATTTAGCACAAAATTTATCATTTTTATCCCAAAATTTCAATTTCAACATTTTACATCTTAAACTTGGACGAGTATTGCAATCTCCACCTTAAACTTTAACAAAGAGTTTCAATTTTTATAAGATTTTTGTTTGATAATTTCGTGAAAACTATGTATTCTCTCTCATATATGTCGAATTATAAAACTTATGTTTGGTGCGAAATTGATAAGATTCAAACAAAAACAACACCAGAGGTGGATTTCTTGTGTGAAGTTTTATTGGTTGCTTTTGTGCTTTAATCCAACTTTATTGGTGTGAAACTTGACAAAACTTGTCGAATTTTTTTTACCCCCAAATTATTAGGTCCAGACTCAGAATTTCAACCATATATTGTATGAACCAATCTAAGTTTAACTAAAATGATGTTAATGGGCATAAATAAAAGAAGTGAAGCCTAAAAATTTGGTTAGTTTTTGTCACATTCTTCAAAAGTTTGTCATTTGAAAATTTTATTTTCTTTTTAGCAAGAATTTATGTTGACTACTTACTATACTAAGAAACATTTGGTCAAAGATGTATTTGATTTGAGGTGGCCCACCATGTTTGCCAACTTTTCAAGTGCAATGTATCAAACCCAACTTTTATATTTGTAGGAGAAAAAAAAAAGAAGAATGAATGGATGAATAATTGCATTATGAAACCTTTTTTTAAAACATCAAATCACCCAACATATAATTAAATCTTATTAAGAAATTTCATGTTTTGATTTAATGCAGTGCTTTATACCATTTTATTAGGAAGAATACAGACAAGCAAATTAAGAAGGATCTAAATGCACTAAATAAGCCAAATCAAGTTTAATAATTAAAGATCCACTTGGAATCAAAATCACTTGTCATTGATATTTATCGATTGTCCGTCAAGTAGAGCATTTTAATTAGACTCTGAGTATATCTCAACTAATTGATGCATAATTTACCTCCTTAAAGGTCGGAGGTTCGACTTTGTTGTACTAGAAAAAAAAAACTCTACCACCAAATTTCTTTTTTGACCTATTAGAAGTTGCACAATCCATCCCTTGAACTAGGTTCAAATTCTATTTTGATTTATGTACTTTCAAAAGTTCATTATGGTCCTCAAACTTTCGATTTTTGTTCATTTTAGTCATTGTACTCTCAAAACGTCAATTTTAGTCTTTGCACTTTTAAAAAGTGACAAATTCGATCTCTATTTACAAAATTTTAAGACAAATTTTATATAAAATAGAAACAAATATAATGCTAAAATTATGATGGAAATAAAAATAAAAATATAAGAACCAAAATGTCGATTTCCAAAAATATCGAAATTAAAATAGATTTTTGAAAATGTATGGACTAAAATAGTATTTATCCCTATCTTTTTCACACGTGTGAACAACCCATTTTTCTCCTCAATAGAGAAAAAAGAAAGAAAAAGAAAAAGAAAGGGGAAGGCAATATCAATGTCATAGGTTCCCGGTGATGGAGCGCACGTGCGGGGGTCTCCTTTTGGTCCGTGACGGCCACAGCCCACAGGCCTTTCTTTTGGCTTTTCACAGATTCACAGTCCTCCATTAACTCTCCCCTTCCCATTTCCTCTGCTTCTGCTCTGCCTTCACATGGAACCTTTAATGCCCACTACTTCTGATTCTTCACCTTCCTAATTGCAATTGGTATGCCCATTCATTTCCTCTTCTTCTTCTTCTGTTTTTTCTCTCTGTTTTTTTTTTTTTTGGATATATGTTCTCTTAATCCACGAGACTTCCGACCCTTTTCTTTGTTTCCATTCCCTTTTCGGTGCTGCCGAATTTTGTTCTTGTTTCCCTTTTCAAATGGGTCATGAAAGTAGTTGCTGTTGCTGTCTGTTTCTGTTATGTCAGAGATCGCCCTTTAATTTGGGAGGTAGTTGTAGAGCTTCAGTTCAATCGGTGAGAGTACTGGTCGAGGAAGGCCTTTATTTAATCAACTGCCACCATTTTTTCTGTTCAAACTTCACAGCCTGAAAGTTGGAAACTGGGAAGATTGTAAGTTCTTGAAGGGTTTTTGGCCCATTGCTTCTGATGGATCCGTTGTGTGAAATCCCTCGAAAATCTGCTTCCTGAAATCTACTTAGATTTCGGTTAAAAGGGTCTCGTACACTGTTTTTGTTCCTCCGAGTTTTGGTTCCATTTTTCTTGATCATTTATTGGAGCACCTAATTTTTTAGAGTGGGCATCCTGTCATTACCAAATTAGCATTCCAGGATTAATTATATTAGAGTTTCTTTTGACGGAAACTTACTAATGTCGATTGGTAACTTTTGTTCCATAAATGGGAGTGAGCATTGAATCGACTGTTGGAAAGCGATTTACAATGATCTGTTTCGATATGTTTCTTACTATGTGAAATATCATTTGCTATCTTATACTTTCAGGTACGTTTGGAAGATTATCTTATGATGGAATCCTGCGATTGCATTGACGCCCAGTGGCCCCCTGATGAACTTCTAGTGAAGTATCAGTACATATCGGATGTGTTAATCGCGCTTGCTTATTTCTCCATCCCGCTGGAGCTTATATATTTTGTGCAGAAGTCGGCATTCTTTCCTTATAGATGGGTGCTTATGCAATTTGGTGCTTTTATTGTTCTCTGTGGGGCAACCCACTTCATAAACCTGTGGACGTTCTCGATGCACTCGAAGGCTGTTGCCGTGGTGATGACAATTGCAAAAGTTGCCTGTGCTATTGTTTCGTGTGCAACTGCATTGATGCTTGTTCATATTATTCCTGATCTTCTGAGTGTCAAAACTCGAGAGTTGATTCTGAAGAACAAGGCTGAAGAACTTGACAGGGAGATGGGCCTTATTCTCACTCAGGAAGAAACTGGAAGGCATGTTAGAATGCTAACTCATGAAATAAGAAGCACACTCGACCGGGATACGATATTAAAAACAACGCTTGTCGAGCTGGGAAAGACCTTAGGGCTTGAGGAATGTGCCTTGTGGATGCCATCACGGAATGGAATTAGTTTACAACTTTCACATGCCTTGAACTACCAGATACCAGTTGGAACTAATATTCCGATAAATCTTCCTGTTGTCAATGAAGTTTTCAATAGTACTCGAGCAATATGCGTTCCCTACACCTGTCAATTGGCTAAGGTCAGGCCTCTTGTAGGAGGAAGGTATTTACCGCCTGAAGTTGTTGCCGTGCGAGTTCCACTCTTAAACCTCTCAAATTTCCAAATCAACAATTGGCCTGATGGCTCTTCCAGATGCTATGCAATAATGGTTCTAATTCTTCCTACTGATAGCGCTAGGAAATGGCGAGATCATGAGTTGGAACTCGTGGACGTTGTCGCAGACCAGGTTTTGTGTAATTTATTGTTCTGCTGCACCTGTACACTGCCCCTTGACTGGCATATTTTACACAACTAAAGTTAGTTAAGGTATATGAATAATTGATCATCTGTAGTTCTAATAGATGGTCTAAATAGGTCGAATGTTAAGACAGGATGCTATCGGCTTAGGAGTACAAATACCCATGTGACACTTAGGACACTGTTTGTAAGTGATGACCTAGTCAAGCCTTCTAAGCCCTCATCGGATAACGATATTGTTGGGAATGTTGTCAGGTAAGAGCTTAGTGGTTCGGGCTAAGGGCTTATATCAACGAAAGTTGGCTAGTGTGGGAGCTTTGGAAGAGTTCCTTTGAATTCTTGGGTTACCTAGTTTTCTAGTTTTTTGTTGAAATGAAGGAAGGTCAAATCTATTTATAAAATTCCTTATAAAATTCCTCCTCTTTAACCAATATGGCCTCAATCTATTTGATCCAACAATGCAGAGAAGTTTTCTAGTTCCTCCTAGTTATCAGATTTTATGGTTTTTCTTCAATCCTTACAAATAATTAGAATAGGTTCTTACATTTTTTGATGAATTATAATGTATGTCCACTTGTTCTTCAAGATTTAGTCAAAATGCTATAGTTTGCACTTCAAGTTTTTGTAATTGCAATTAAAAGACTTCTTTGCCTGTTCGGAGATTGTGATACATTTATCACTCATCAGGAATTTGTTACTGAGTAATGAAATTCCTGAAATCCATATGTAGGTAGCTGTTGCCCTTTCACATGCTTCAATTCTTGAAGAGTCTATGCGGGCCCGGGATCAGCTTGTTGACCAAAATGTGGCTTTGGATTTAGCTCGAAGAGAAGCGGAGGTGGCCATTCATGCTCGTAATGATTTTCTGGCTGTCATGAACCATGAAATGAGGACGCCAATGCATGCAATAATCGCTCTATCATCCCTACTTTTAGAGACCGAACTGACTCCAGAGCAAAGAGTGATGATAGAGACAATACTCAAGAGTAGTAATCTTCTGGCCACTCTGATTAATGATGTCTTAGATCTCTCTAGACTCGAAGATGGCAGTCTAGTATTAGACATGGGATCGTTCAATCTCCATGCTATTTTCAAAGAGGTAAACTTTAGAATCTAAGCTAACTTTTTTCTCAGTTGTCTCAACAACCATCAGGTGTTATCCTAACTCCATCAAGCCTTTAATTGCAGGCAATGGATCTTATAAAGCCCATTGCTTCGGTAAAGAAGTTGTCGATGGCGTTGATTTTGGCCTCGGATTTACCCATCTGTGCTGTTGGCGACGAGAAGCGGCTTATGCAAATCATCTTGAATGTTGTGGGTAACGGGGTGAAGTTTACGAAGGAAGGTCATGTTTCAATCATAGCATCTGTTGCAAAATTGGACTCTATGCGAGATTGGCGACCTCCTGAATTCTATCCAATGCAATCTGATGGCCACTTTTACCTGCGAGTACAGGTTGGTAACCGCTAACCGGGACATTGGCTTTTCATCCAGCTTTTATTTTTCATTCCACATGGTTAAAGACCAATTAGAATTAGGCCAACTTTATTTTTCATCCCATATTTATTGAATGTTCTAAATCTTCTTGCTATGGCTTCTAACTTCTCCTTGTGCAGGTTAAAGATTCTGGATGTGGAATTCTTCCACAAGACATTCCTCATCTATTTACCAGATTCGCTCAGCTACAAACGCAATCTAACCGAACAAATGGTGGCGTAGGACTTGGATTGGCCCTTTGTAAGCGGTAACACCTCGTACCATCTAAAGTACAGTATCCTGAAAATTCCATTTTTATGAGAAGCTATTCTTGGATCATGTTCCAAAGAGAAAGAATTGGTCTGAGTTGACTTGTATCTGTTAATTTGCTTTTATCTTATAGCTTTTCTTGAAAACCATTTCACATGGGTTGTTGGATCAGGTTTGTAAACCTCATGGGAGGTCACATCTGGATTGAGAGCGAAGGCCCCGAGAAAGGGACCACGGCCGTGTTCATTGTGAAACTCGGGATCTGCAATGCCAATCCAAATGACTTATCAGTGAAGCAAGTTGCCCCCATTGTGAATCACAGAAGTGCAGATCTCCATGGGCATAGACCAATCTTCAGAGAGAGTGGTCAAGTTGCTTTTTCAAGTTCGCGTTATCAAAGAAGTCTTTAATCTTGATGAATTTCGAGTTCCGAGCTCCTTCGGGATTTTTTTCATGGGAAACCATGAAGTTGGAAGAAATGCACCTACATAGCCGCTGCATCTTTGCTTCCCGAGCGATATTATCGGTCCTTAGTTAGATAAAACACATGGTTGCTGAATTTGCAGCCACCATGTAGTATAAGAAAAATATCCTGTTAACTCTCGAAGATGAACGTGTTGTTGTGTTATTGAAACATAATGCCATGTACTTAGGCGCCGAATCATGTTCCTTTGGGATCCATAAATTTTCAGTTGCGATGAGGTCTTAATTTCATGGACATACTAATATTAATGTAAACACTTTCATTAATTTTTCGTTAAAATTAAGATGAAAATATGTCAATAGTGGATTATGAAAATGTAGGTTACAAGTAGATTGAACTTATAAAATTCATATTGTTTAGAAGTTACATTTAATTGTTTCAAATGCCAACTCGAGTATAATTTAATTAATTAAGATGTTTAGAGGTCATGAGTATAATCTTTTATTTATTAAAATTATAAGTTTAATTCATGTTATTTGACATTTTCTAAAATTTATTGCCTTTTTTTTTTCAATTTATTGACCTTTATTTTTGAGAAAAAAATTTATTGACTTCATACAAAATGGAAAGTTTAGAATTCAATTAAACAAAAAATTCAATTTTAAATATAATAATTTCGTTAATTTGAAAAAAAGCCAAAGAACTATAAAACACAAAAATTAAAATTTTAGGAGCATTTAGATAGTTCTAAAATTAATGCAGCTATTATTTATTGGTTGTTCCATTTTTGCCCTCATGTATTGAAAATCAATCACCGTACAAAGAATCAATTATCCCGCTGCTATACATTCCTGAAGCTTAGCTTTGGAATTTCACTAAAAAGAAATTTAAAAGGAAAAAAAAAAAGAAAAAAGAAATTTTCGCTCTGTTTTCTACTACCCCGTCAGGCCACTGGCGTAAGGAACTCCGGTCTGCGGCAGCCAATCATCGGCCAAAACAAAATTGCCGGCCGTGAAATTGCCGGCGTCAGTATCATTAATGAGATGAAATCCCGGCCAATCCACCCTCTCCGACGTGTTGGATCCGGGCCCAAAATTCCCAAATTCCGCATAATAAGAAGTGTTGAGAGCAAAATCCCCATCCCAAGCCCTCCACCCCGCCGGATTGATCAGATCGTCCATGAAACTCTGCATATAAACCGTCCGCGAATACTCCTTCCAGGGCCGGCCGAGAAATGTCTTGACCGGAAAGCTGCTGTTGGCGAGATCGTCGGCGGGCGTGATCCGGCAGTTGTGGATCGACGTGCCGGTGTTCTGGTTGGGGTCGGTCCGGCCCTGGGCGGTGATGGCGTTGAACTGGTTGGCCATCGGAAGGCGTGGGTAGAGGTTGCAGTTCTGGAAGACGACGGCGGCGTTGCCGAAGATGAAGTCGACTGTGCCGTAGATGTCGCAGTCGCGGTAGAATTGGCGGAGGGAGTGGGTGTACAGAGTGTCTTGGTACCCCTCGAAGCTGCAGAGGTAGAACGTCGACAGGTCGGCGCCGCTGCGCACCGCCACCGCTTGGTGCTTCGCTGCTCCGGCCGTGTTCTGGAACGTCATGTTCACCGCTACGAACCCAGGTCCGACCACCGCTGTAAATTAAATTAAATAAAAAAGTAAATAAACAGTCCATCGTTAAGATGAATCTGATGAGAGATTCATTTTGAAAAGTACTAAAAAAAAATTAATTTAAAAAAAAACCAAGAATATTAATATAGTATCAAAATTTTAAAACACTCAAATGTTAATTTTAATCGGAATTATAACATCTACGTTAATAAATTAATTAATAATACTTTAGATTAAATTCAATATTTATCTGATAACTAATATATTATAAAATATTATATTTTTTCTTTAAATTGAGATTCAATTTTTAAATATATAAATTAAGTTTACTACCAAATACATATCTTAAAACAAATTCAACGATGTTTTCATCGAAAATTTTATTTTCAAATTTCTGTTTTGAAATCGTTAACTTTCTAAATCTAAGGATACACTTATTATTATCAATTGATTTCGGACGTAACTGGTAATATTAACGCTTGATCAAACTTTTATAATTAAAATTTGAAGATGAGAAAGAGTTACCAAATGTGGCGGAATTGAAAGTGGTCCAGCCGTCGACGACGCTCCGGTTACCGGTGATGACGGTCTGATTAATTCCGTCTCCGATCATCATCAGGTACCTCTTATTCTTGGCGATGGAGACGTATTCTTGGTAGACTCCGGCGGAGACGAAGATCAAGAAATAGCCGTCGGTAGAAGCGGAGTTGTTGGGCGCCGCCACAATGGCCTCGTTAATGGTGGTGAAATTTCCGGTACCGTCTTGACTGACGACGACGATGTCTCTGACCGCAATCTGGTCGTCGCCGTCGCCGTCGGTCTCGAGCAGCTTCCGGCGACTCGCCGTCTCGTAGATCGCTCTTGTTCTGCTCGACATTTTGAGCGACATTCGTCCGTTTCTGAAACCGCCATGTCTTCCGGCGGCGTTCCACGTCGCCCTTTTCTTCTTCTTCGGAACCCAACCTGTCCAGATTCAATAATAATAAATAATGTCAATTTACAATCTTTTTTTTTTCTAAAAATATTATGTTAAATTACTATTTTGGCCCTCATGATTTGATTTTTAACTTGATCTCTAATGTAAAATTTATCAATATTTATGGAAATTTTAAATAAAAAAAAACTATGTAAACTAAATTGGAATGAGGCACAAGTACTACACAATAATAAATGATAAGTTAGCAGTAGCACAAAAAAGAAACTAATATTTTCTACATCAACATTTTCTAAGCTGGTCTTTAAAAGAAAAAAAAAAAAAAAAGATCATGGTTGTCAGATTGTATAACTAATGCTTAAAATAAGCTAACCAAACTTTTTGAAAACCGGCCTAATTGGTATTTTGTCTCACATTATTTTCGTATCAATTTATTATTAATTTAATAAAATAGACCAAAACAAATTATGCTAATCCAATTATAGAAAGGGACGCTTTTTAGCCGTATAATGCTTTCCCCCTAGACTTGTAGGTCTGAATTGAATGCAATATTTCAAAAAGGAAAAACAAAAAAGTAAAATTAAGTTTATATCTTAAACTACAAATTTAAAATTTATTCTTTTTTTATTTAAAAAATAAAATGATCTAAAATTTTATTTTGAAATATTTATATTATATATTTTACTTTTAATATTTATTATGCCTTTAACAATAAATTTGTTTTTTAAATTTCTACGTAATTTAGAAACATATTTTAGAAATAAGAAACTATAAAACAAACCCTCTAAGCTTAGAAAAACTAAAAACAGTAGCATTGTAAAACGTTCTAACAAACTCATTTGATAACGATTCTGTTTTTCTTATTATTCATTTTTAATAAAAAAATAAATTGTAAATTATAAAACAATCTTTTCATTTACGTTATGGAATAAATTAGAAATGAATAAACAATAAATATAATTAATTGCAAAATGCATTTCTTAAGGAAATCGGAAACCGAAAACAGAACCTAAAGTTTCTAAATTTAAAAAATGTCTAAAAAATGGGAGAATTAAAAAAAAAAGATGTATTAATAGAATATTGCAAAGGATATTAAATTGAAAATGGAGATATTTGTTAAATAAGAATAACAAATTACCTTTGGTAAATAAAGCCAATGACATGGAGTAGAGCTTGGTGTCAGCGGCAAGTGGGAGGGACAGTCCATTTTTGACAGACCAAGAACCCGCCGTCGCCTTCACTCCGTCCAAACACGTCTGCTGGTTCGTCAGAATCCCACTCAGCAGCGTCTGCACCTCCTCCGCCTTCATCTCCGGCAGCGCCCTGCTCGTCGCGTTCACCGCCCTCACCGCCGCCGTCAGGAAGTCCACGTTCAGCCCCGCCAGTAGCTCGCAGTCCTCCAGCGCCCGCACCGCGCCCACCGTCAGCGACCCTCGGGACGTCCGCAGGTACTTCTGCACCAGCCGGAGGAACTTCCTGGACGACGACAGCGACTTTCCGACCGACGACCGCCCGTACGAGTACACATTGCCGGTTTGGTTCGGGAGGGCGGATTTGCAGTAGGAGGGGTCTGGGGTGGAGTCGCAGACGGGCCCGGCTGCGGCGGGCGGCGGGGCACGGCTGGCGGAGGTGGAGAAATAGAGGAAGGAGAAGAGAATGAAAGTGAAGAACCAGAACGACGTCGTGCTGCCCATGGGACACAGCAAAGAGAAGGGATTTTTATTTTCTATTTATTTATTATATATATTTTTTTTCAGTTTGGGGATTTGGAACTGTGAAGGCTATGGGCTTTCAATGGGGAATGGGGGTTCTATTTATAGGATGACTATAGGCTTTTTTTTATTTCGAGAATATTAATGGACAAATTCACAGAAGAGATTCGAACTTTTTAGGATGTAAAAATATTTTAAAATTATAAATGGGTTATATATATTAGTAATGTTTTAAAATTTTTAATTTTTATTTTTGGAATTCTGAAATCTTTTATTTTGATTACACTAGAAAGTATACTTAAATGTTGACACGACGGATAATAAAAATCTAGAATGATATGTCAGCCTAAGCATAGTTCAATTGATTTAGATACCTTATTTTCAATTAAAAGATTATGAGTTCGAATCCCCACCTTACCTATTGTATAAAAAAATTGATTTAATATATATTATTCTAACTAACTTGTTGTATAACTTTTTAGCTTGCTTTAATTTTTATCTATTTTTTCTACTCTTTTATGTCATATGTATTGAGTGAAATTGTTACGTATTTGTCTAATTAGTAAACCAACCAACTTGAAGTTACCTAAAACATGTATATTTGACCTCGTTCCACGCATTATTATACTAAAAAAAGATTAATAGTCGTAACAAAGAAAGACAATGGTCGACCTATGAAGTATGATCAACAAGGATTTGATAGTTCGGTCCAATCAATATTGATCGAAGAGAAGCCATATGTCGAGGTAAGAAACCTAAACCGTATGTAACAGTGTAAGAAACCCATATTAAAATAAATGTTTTTTTTAATACTAAAATAAATTTATATTAAATGAGGAAGAAAGGTCGAAATTCGAATTAATTATAATGAGAGAGTCAAAATGGAAAAAGAAGGAAGAAGCGCGTTGAGGGACATTGAACAAGGCGGTGTTTGGTTACAGGGAAAAGGTGCCAAGATTTGCAAGCTGTCATGCAGATGTTTTGTTTTGTAAGAAAAATAATTTATTTATTTAATTTTGTTTCTAAATCTAAACTTATAATTCCCTTATCCAATGCAATCGGTGTGGGATCCTGCTTTTTTTTTCTTTAATTTTTTTAAAAGAATTTACGTAAGACTATGGATTCCATTATATTCCTTATTTTAATAATTCATTCATTTATTTTAATTATCCTTTTCTAAATATATAACATAATATATTTGCATTATTTGTCTAAATATTCACATTAACTTTCTAGCTAGATATTAGTGTCATTATTTATAAGTTGTAGGTTTTATTATTATTAATTTTTTAAGAGTATTGAAATAGTGTCAAATAATAATAATAATAAATAGTGTTCTATTAGTCATGTTGTTGTTTGTACCCTTAAGATATATATTTTAAAAAAGTTGTACATAAATTTTGGGAGTAACAAAATCTGGTTTCTAGTTTATTATTGTTATTACTATTTACATGTTTCCATTTTATAAAAAAACATAAATAAAAACATGACTTGGTCATCATTTTTTACTTAAAAAAATACAATAAGTATACTTATCAAACACAATTTAAAAAAAAAATAAAAAATGAGAACATTACAAAAAAGTGTTAAATCTCTATATTGAATTAAATGAGTTTAATCAAGTTTTAACCAAGAAAATTGAATCATACTCAAAGCATCAACCTTATATACTATATTATAAGGAAATTTTATTTTGGTTACATTTTTATAAATTAATGTAAAAAAAAAGAAGGAATTTGCCAACCTTATTGGCAGCAAATCTAACTGAAACAAATCCTACCATAAGCCACTAATTTCAAAGCTTAATTTGTTGCTACCAAAACCCACTAACAACAAAGTTTTATATTTTTAAAATTTGAGAACAGTGACATTATTATCCTCATTAGACCCACCACCCATTAGTTTTCTAAATCTAAGGGTAAAAATGAAAAGACATGACATGACAATGTTCTTCCTTTTCTTTCTTCTTCTTCTTCTTTTATTTTTTAAAGCTTAAGTCTTTCTTTTCTTTTTTAGTTTTCTTTTTACATGATAATGGTAGTTGCACACATAAAAATCTGACTCAAGATAAACCAATATAAGGTAAGCTAGTACAACTTTTTAAAACACTCGTCAATATATATCTCAATTATTGATAGATGTATATCATTGAATAAATGTCTATCACTTTCTATTAGTGATAGATATTGATCTATGCCTACAAAAATTTTGTATTTAAAATAATCTGGCTTGTTACAACATGGAATTCTCAACCTTCGCCTACCCATTTAAGATATTTAACTTCAAGTCATCGTCATTCTACTTAAAGATTCCATATCGAAAAAAATCAAAGGACTTAACAAGGTTTCATAGTCATTACTTCTCTTATATTCTTTCTTTGAATTTAATCTTAAAGCAGTGTTTTACAAACATACATAAATTTAAACTTTTTGAATTCTTCTATCAAAATTTTCTTTTGATACGCAATTTATCATCAACGTCGTTTTGGCAGACACTAGAGTCCTTTGACGTATTTGAATAATTAAGGAAGTGAGAAGGCTGCCGGACATAATATATGGTACATTTCAATCTTCTACATGTAAATGTACCAAGACCATACAATTGTGTCTTTTTTCCTTTTTTTTTTTTTACCAAAATTAAATACATTAAAATAAATTGAATAAAAAGGTTGAAATGTCAGTTCCGGAGCCGGTTTGGTTTACAAAATCTGCTGCATTTTATTTCCGGTGGTTTGGAAGTTCCCAAATAAAATTATTTTAATACTAAAAAAAAAACCGGTGGTTTGACAGTAGACCCAGTCGTTGGGGCTATTGCGTGTAGTCTACGTGACTTAGTCAATGAGGGACCACGTGGAGACTTCTGGGTCCCACTGCCGCGTTTAATTCACGCGTTTCTAATCATATTCCTAATTAGTAATTATGATCAAATTCTCAACAAATTATTAGGTAACATTTTTGTTTACCAGCATAAAATATCATCAATTAGTTACTGATATAAATATAAATACTAATAATAGCATATTTAACTTGTTTAGAAAGTAAAATTTGAAAAGGACTACATTATTAATTGAAATAATTTTCGTAATTTTTCTACAAAAGTATTCGTTGTTGATAGGGATATTTTAATAAAATTGAAATTTCGATATCAACATTCAACATCGATATTTTAATTCTTGTCTCTTTCCTAAAGGAAATTAAAATTTAGTTATATTTAAGTCATTTGTGGTAATTATTAGGTAACATTAAGTTTAGTTATGATCTAGATTGGTCCAATTTATACTAGAAAGCTAGATTTCTATTTATTATAAATTTCCTTTTATCTCATTTTATAAATCCACTAATTTCACAGGCTATACACAAACTATCTTTTATAAAATTCATATTTTATATTATACACAAAATGGAGCTAAAAAAATTTATTGGGTGATGTAAAAAAAAAAAGAGAGAGAGAGAGAGAAATTTTTAAAATACTATTTTTTTTCTTCATTTTTTCTTTTCTTTTTCTTTTTATTTTTTTAAGAGGGGCTCACCTTGACTATATGTTTATTTTAAAAATTATAAACCTACCAATGAAAGTTTTGTATAATCCAAATGTAAATTATAAATTCAAGTTTTACAACTCAAAGTTTTATAAATTTAGACATTAAAATTAAAAGTCAAACATCTTTAGGGTTCTTAGTCAACCTTAATCTCCACTTAAGTTAGACTTTAACAAGGTTTCTATAATCCCTCTTGTTATTATTATATTCTCTCTTTTTTTTTTTTTAGGAAAAGGGCCAGTGGGAGCTTAGTATAGTCAACCAAATGACCAAAATTTTCAATATGAAAAGAATAACAAAAGATAGTATATAAAACTAAATAAAATTAATGTGTGGCAAATATATTATGTAAAAAATAAAATTGGGTTGACTTGAAATATAAAAAACCGCGTCTATTAATAAATTGCATTAAAAAAAATAAATAAAAATGGGTAAAGTCAGAGTGCCATGCAAATATTAATAAATAAAGACTTAGTGGTATTAGGTACGTACTCAATGCAGCCCAAAAACAGGTGCTTGCATGTGCTGCAAAAATGGATGCACATTTTCTTCTCCACATTTATTATTTTTTAATTATAATATTACATCGGTCCATATATACCAATATGAACATAATTCAACAGTAAAGACATCTACTTTTTTCCGTAATGTCAGAGATTAAAAATACTCGCACCATCATATCTACTGTAATAAAGAAAAAGAGGTTGGAACATATAGCATATATATGATCTCTGGATAGGAAGTATAAATAGTTTTTTTTTTTCAATTCAATGAAGGATGAATTGGGAATTAGATGAGTAATATCTTAAATTATTATGTGTAACATAATTTCATGTTTGCGGAGTAAATTTTTACTTTTTTAACCTTTTATTACCTTGTTTTTGTTTCTTTCTGTCTTTTAACAAAAAGATGAAATTATTCCTTTGGTGGAGTTTTCTCATGATGATTTTAACGGTATATTTCGTTTAAAGACTGAAAATTTGGGAGGAGCTTTAATTGGAAAAGACTTGGCTTCTTAAGGTTGAGAACATCCCTCATATAGAATGATAAGTGTTGGTTATTCGTTTATTTTAATTATTTTATTAAAATTTATAATCTCATCAAAATATCTTAAAATGTGTCCGACGATTCTTCTCATTTTTTTTCTCTCCATACACTTCTCACCTCCATCATCTTTTTCTCAACTTATGCATCATCTAAAATGTCTTTCTTTCTTGTTCGTTCTTTTTTCCTAACTTAATGCAGCTTAAGTTTGTAGTATAAAAAATACATATCCACAATATTGTGGAGATGTATATGTATAACTGTCTCGACAATCATTTAAAACTATGAAAATAAAAAAAAAGTGTATATATACCTTTAAATTGTGGAGATGTAAATGCTGTAAACTTAAGCTGCATTAGGTTGGAAAGAAAAAAGACGAAGAAGAGAGAAATGTAAGACGTTACAATACTGCATAAATATTGAGAAAAAATGGGAGCGAATAAGAGAGAAAAAGGGGGTGAGATAGTACAAGG